ATGCGGTGAATCAATTCTAAAATGCTGTGGAGAAACAGTGCATCTTTGCCACCAACATGGCGGAAGTTCGTTTCTGTCCCGTTTAAGTCAATGAGCTGCATTTATTGCTCGGGGAATAAATTATGATCCGAATAAGTTATTACCTTTCACAGACAATTGCAGACTAATAAGGATGATCATTTTATGACATGAACCCCTCTCCTCAAATTTGCATGTTCAAGTTGGCAGATTGGGAATATTTTATTTGGTTTTGGTAATGGATAATTTATCTTCAGATAGGCTCCTATTTTATGGCACCATTTTGTCTAATAGCACACTAATATGTATCTATTTAATTTTTATTTGTTCGTACAACCCGATTCTGAACGTATGATTTTGAAATAAATGCTTCTATGATGCACAATGGATAAAATCAAAACCGGTTAAAAAATATACCCCAAACAAAGGCGTTATGGCAATGAAGTGACGGCAGTATGACGTCGAAACTGTGCAAACGACTCTAGCGAATCACATGATGATGAGTCATCGATTGACCAAATAGGAAGCGTTATTTTCCCAAAACGAGTTCCCTAAATGTGTGTGCTTGTCCGGCCTTACGTGGAATATCCCTGAAACCACCAAAAGTTATAAGCAAAAGGGATTTCAGTGAAGATCTCTCCTTCTCACTTTCAATGTCCACAGTTTACATAAGGCCATAAAATATCATCAGGTTTCTACCCATTGATCACAACAAGGCGTAATAGCCATTTTCTTTATTCTTAGAAATGCCATTTATATGCATTCGGACTTCGTGGAAAGCATTTTTCCATCCTTGTCTTAGGTAGGGAAACAAATTCTGGATCTCTTCCTCATTTAGACACCTTTGATCTGGTTGCTCTCCAATTGGTACTGTTGTCCGTACTATTCAGTGGTTGAGCATCGACCTGCTAGGATAACGTTATCTCCGTCATTACACGCTGACACCTGCACGCCCTTTCTCCTATTCAATTCAATCAATATAGCGCTCTAATTCCTATTGCCCATATTTTCTTTCAATGGCATTCTTCTAACGGAGATAACTTTCATTTCCACTAGAATTTTTTCCATTAAAAAAATTCTTAGCAATCATTTCCCGAGGAAGCAAGCCTATAAACCTATGAATGCTTTCTTTCCGATATTAATTGGTAGATACATCACGTGCTTATATTCCTCCCACGCCCCAACTGTTTTATCTTCATTAAGGCTCCATTTAATCCTCCCTTTCAAAGCCTAACAATAATTTTTTCCAAACACCAAGCGGTAAAGAGTTCTGTGGTAATTAACAACCCTCATACCTTAATCCCTCGTTCTTAAATTATTTATTATCTGGTGTAATAAAATATTAATTCATGTCATCCTCAATATATAATTAGGTGGTTAATGGAAACACAATTGGGTTTTTATTTGTAAACCGACCAACAGGGTGCAAAGCTGATGATCGGGTTTGTAGGAAATACGCCAATTAGGGAACTGATAGGTATGATGGAACTCTCCCCCCTCCAATCCATATTTTCATTTATTTGAATAAATATTCTCAATAAATGATTTGCCGATTGAAATGAAATTGTGTAAAAAGGCGTCCTTCATTCAGTCTATGTTGGCTGGAGAGACATACAATCGAATAATACTTCTGTTTCCTCTCAATCAATCAATAAAAGATAAATCTGTTTTTACTTCCTATTATTTTTTTAGAGGGGAGGTACGCCATAGACTTACCTCCACATGGTGTACCCTGGGCAACGTATACTCACACGGCAAAAACAGTCATTAAACCGACAGTTGACTTCGGACTTCGAATTACCATGACCTCAGTGTGTGCATATTCGACCACTTTGACAGTACTCACCTCATCTTTTTATCTACCTTTGTGCCTGTCTCCTTTAACATCGGTGAAACACTCCTCTATCCTCCCTCGAAATTTTGTGGCTTCACTCTATCAACTAAAGGTCTGATGAAAAAGTATCATAAATCCTGCCATTTGATATAATTACATTTCTTTCGAGGGCCAATGACAAATACAAAGCGGGGTTAGTTTTAAAATCCGCTGTAACCCACTTTAATGTCATCAAGACATCCTCCATTTCAAAGTTTTTACACTTTCCAGAACAAAGAGATCCTTTCTCAGATAGATCACATTCAAGATCCAGTGATATTAATAACATCCCTCTTTCTAATGTAAGTGCTTAGAACGCCTTATCAATTTACGTTAACTTCAAATTCAAGAAAACTTAACAATGTGTTGGAAATTGTAGCTGCCGTTTTTAAATTTCGAATGTCATGTTGTCCACAAAGACATTAATTTAGTTGACATAGATTATCAGCAAATAATGTGAATTTAAAGATTGTAAAGAACAGGAAATAAAGGAAATCAAGAAGGATTCCAAACACAAATTTTGCACATTCTTTGAGCCAATGTCAATGCAATTTTTTGTGCATTTTTCGGTTGCATTAGGTCAAATTTCCCGCCTAAAATCCAATACAAATCGATTAGAAGACTAGCGCAGTCACCGCAAACTAACTTACCAGATATGAATTTCAAGTTAATCCCATTATAGGACTGTATTACTGTATTGATTTTATCCAGTAAAGCGAATAAGCCCTTGTGAGACATTCATTAATGAACGATATATTTGTTGGATTTTGGGGTAATATTTAAGGGACATAAAGGTACAGGGAGACCCTGAAGTTTGCATCGACAGCTTTTTTCAAATAGTTATTGCATGTCGTCAATTTGAAATTTCTATTAATTCTCTAAATTCAGGATATTTGCATTACTGAAACCCATTCTAATAATAATAAAAAAAGATTTTTTCGGTTTCTAATAAAAAAAAACATACTCCTGACAAACTGACTCATCAGAATCATATACAATACATTCTAAAATCCCAGATTACTTAGTCAAAATTCAGATCTCAGCATCTGACAAGTAAAACGCTCCTTTGCTTATTCCAAAGCAAGATATACGGTTTCTGTCCCAGATACCGCATCATTGGTAAACCATTGTTCCACATATCCCCTACTCCAAGACATCCAACTATGACTAATTCCTCTCATGGAGAAATAGGAAAATTTTATGAGGAAAAATATTCTATCCATCAAACACGTACCATTTTGGGAAAAATTTTAGAATGAAAATCTAGTCAAATATGTTCACTCATTTTAATAATGTTCAGGCCCTTTAAGTTGGTCAGCGTACAATACTACCCAGGCGGAATTGAGGAATTTTACGCATCAGAACACTCTAGAAAGTTTTTAAGTGCTACTGATCGCGTAACCAATTAGGAAGCAATTTTATTTGACTCATTAATTGATGTTGGCGCTCGGTTTAAGTATTGCTTATTGATTAATTCGAATGTTTAACTATACCATTGGAATATTCTTTCCTAAAGTTATTAAAACAGTGAAGGACATTTATTGGATCTAATCTTGTGTGAAATCTTTTATACAACAGCACTTTCCTTTGAAGCCACATGATGATGGCATCTCAAGATTTTGTTGATTACCTATATTTCAGATATAGCACCTCAGAAGTCTATAAAGAAGAAACTTGAATTGATTATAAACTGAATTGGGGAGAGCAACCTTTACAAACCTCTTTTAACCTCACACTCCCAAAGGTGATATGACCTTAACTCAAACCGATATTTTATAATTTTTGACTGATTAAGTGATGAAACGTAGGAATTGTAATGTTCAAATTGGAGATTAATTTCGCACTTGACTAATTAATGTTGTCGATTGTTCTGTCATATCAGAACGCCTTCCAACACCATCGCTATCGCTGAGGAAATTGATGTGTCAAACGCTATGAGAGGCGCTTGTTCGAACCAAACGGCTATTTGGAATCGATTTTTAGTTTAAGGCAAAGAGTATACAATCAAAGTTAGGGCTGTAAGAAACAGTCTGAAACCGGTGATCTACATGTGTGGACCGAGAGTAAACATCTTTGTTCCAATAATCTGGTTATTTGAAGGTAGGGGAATGATGGAGTGATTAAATATCCCAAGAATTACTCCTAGCTGTTTATTTCTGGGGAAACGGAAATTTGTGTTAAGAAATACTGGTCATTTTTAATTTAACTTAACATTTACTACATTCGGTTAAGTTATGGGTTCAATTCCTAGTGCAATTAACTATCGATTATGGAATTCTTACACTCCGATCTGAATAAGAGAGGCCACCAACGACGAACTCAGTATTGGTCAATATGGCATTAAGTCACTTACCTCATATCCATCCGAATTGAAGAACATTTAGTTTCACAATGGAGAGCAGGATCCGAGTAGTTCTACCCCCTTAAAGGGGCATCAAAGCTTTGTGAAACTCTCAGAATTACTTTGACCTGGATTGAGCAAAACAAATAACAGTTTGAGTTTTCAACACAATTGGTACCTTGGTTCAATCTATGATCTGACATTAAATATCCGCTTCTGTAATCATTGAAATCTCTATTTTATACAGTTCCACAGATTGTGGTGGTGGGTTGTAGTTAGCACACAATGTAATCGCGAGCAGAAAATTGATGACTTCAATGAACACCGATCTGAATTTTAACAAACCGGCACACTGTAGTGGTTTGTTACACGAATAAGCCTTGACTCATACGCACTTATCTCCATGACAAGATAATCTAGTTAAGCTAACTCAACGATACAGAGGAAATAGACGCATAACATTTATTTAAATTATGGTCACAGTAAATATGATTAGTAATTGAATATATTTAAGATAACTTTACTGAACTCTAATAGCTAGTTATCTGAGAAGTCCTCTGCATGCACGACGGCACAGTGACATGTAAATCAATATTTATCTATTTATTTATCAGTTAGAATTTTCATTTCAATTTCAATTTTTTATTAATCATTGAATGCATTATTAAGTAACTTTTCAGAATTCAATTAATTGAGGTCTAAAATTTTGTTTATCTGAACGTATGGATCCCACGCTCGTTATCATTTGATGCTTGCTTGAGCTCCAATATGGAACAAACAGTGTGTGTTATTTGTCAGCAAAATGTAACTCCCCCTGTTGGGCAACCAGATTGTTGCAAGCATAAATACTGCTTTTCTTGTCTGGAGAATTGGGTAGGTGTCAATAGCTCCTGCCCACAAGATCGAAAATGGATAATGAAAATTTTAATTTCTTCTAGGATTGGGGGTCCCATCGTTGCGGAGGTAAGGCTTAATTATGCATCAAGCAGATGATTTCCGAAGAGTTCTGTTTTATTATTGGTATTTATTTTCAGATGCCAATTCGTCACATTTCTCGAAGATTTCGTGACTACAGAGGTTGGAGCGAAACCTTTGTTTATGACCCGGAGAGCATTTATGGTTATATCGCACTCAATACCCCCTATTATCCTTTTTCTTTTTCTTCTATTTATGTATCGATCTCCGCCTTTTACCCCTACCCATCATCAAGACGCCGTCTCCATTCCACATATATATCCAGGCCCATGTTGGATGATGAAGCATGCGAAGGTGAAATTCATTTAAACAATGGGTTTGGAATGACGGAATTGTTCTCTACCGAGTCTATCGGCGGTCTTGAAGAAGTAGGTATAGTTGACGCAAACAATACTTTTTACCATGAATTAAGTTCCGCGGATTGGTTTCATCGTCTTGCAAATCTTCTCGCTCATATTTGGGAAGAATTGGACAGTAACGCTAGAGCATATGGTGAAATAATGCCCTGTGGAGCCCAAAACGGTGAAATCATTTCCAACTTTTTGTGGTTATACATCCGCGATGTTCAAGTGCTCAAGAATATCACAGCTGAGGTAATGAAAATCATAGTTTATTTTACATACATACATATATATATATATAGTAACTTAGTAACTTATTCTGAAAAACTATGTTCAAGCACTTGTCTAAAGCAAGAGGGTTGTAAAATGAAGTCACCCCGGCAAATGACTTGAAACCTATTACACTTTTATTTGCAGCAATTGACATGAGACTCATGCATTCTGATTGCATAGCTGCATCACATTCATTTGGCAAATCATACACATCACTGCGCCTTCAGAAAAACGCCCTATTAACCCTGAATTAATTTTCTTAAATATTCATTTATTTTTGTGTGTGTTCTCGAAATTTTAGAAGTCTCCGTTGGGTAACGTTTTTGACCGCTTTAAAGCGGAAGATATAGTCCCATTTGAAATACTAAAATTTTGGCTTGCAAAATACTTGCAGTTTCTGGAGCCACTGTGTCAAAAAGTAAGCTATTTTAAGCCATATCTGCATAATACGATATGATCACTCATGTTTCATTTTTAAATAGTCATCTCCTATTGAAAATTATTTCTTCCCTCCATAGGTGGCCAAAACGCGGGCAGTTTGGTCTCCTTTACATGAAAAAAATATTGGAGGTGCCCTTGAACTATCAAAGAATGCCTCACCCCATCTCCTGAAACGCGTTAAAAGGCAAGTCCATCTACAAATATCTCCATATGCATTCACAATCAAACCTTCAAAGATAATCGGATTCGAAACCTAAATATGATTCTTTTAACTTCTTTAGACAAACTAAGTCATATGAGCTGGGACTCCCTCGATTCTGGCATTCATTTGGAGTTTGATATTTATTTTTTTAAATAAAACCAAACTGTATGACATTGTTCACTCTTACAATTATCTCGGCTCACGTGATTCAATTTTCCAATTCCTGGTTTTCGTAGTCGACATTTACAAAAAAATTGCCAGGCTTCAAGGTTTCTACTTGCAATTGAAATTGTGGTGTTGATTTATTTAGAGTTTTTTATTTAGCATTATTTACTTGAAGCATTTAATCTTCTCTTCAGAACTTATTAACACGAAGTGATGGGTTTTAATAGAACAAGATTTCCCGATAGCCTACAAGAAATTCCTCAATTAAAGCCACTTCCAGCTATTCAATATGGTATCGAAGAATCAGATTTGAATATTTATTTATTCCAAATGGCAGGCGTTTTAATAGTTATCATAAGCCCTTTGGTTGATTCAGTGATGGGATGAACATCGAAGTGAGATAAAGTCGAGAGGGGGGATGGAAGAGTGATTCACAGATGCAAAAGTGACCGACATGCACAAAGGCAGAGAAAAGGGTGAAGTGAGTACTGGTCAAATAGGACATGGGGACATGGTAAATTGAAGCGAGAAGTCAACTGCCCAGAGTGCACCACGTGGAGGTAAGTCTATCGCACAGCCCAGAATTCGAATATATTATAAGTATTCAAGGCTTCAACTTTTTCCTTCAAGTTATGACCCAAGGTAAGGCGAACAAAGATCCTGTCTTGTGTAGGAGATAGACATGCGCATTCAATTCCCATTCACAGATTGGTCTATCACCCGACTGATCATATTCTGCCTCAAAAGCTCGTTAACATCAATGTTTGGTGTTAACTTCTACTGGCCATCACAACGCGCTTCCGTAGTTTTTGTACCTACGAAAATGAAACGAAATTTCCTGGAATCACGTCACGTTTGCCCTCCCCGATTTCCTTCTAGCTTAATGTTAATAGTAATCTAACGATGTTTATTGCATGGCCATATCATATCAATTGGGACTGGCTATACATTAACATTGATATAAAACATTGAAACCAACTTTGATTTTTTTAGATCAATTTCATTAAACCAAAATATGAATTGCACAGTCAATGCAAAGAACAGTTCGGACTCTGGGGAATTACAAGAGGGACTGGTAAGAGATCGCATATGTAGAAGTAAGGTCTAGAGCCCCACTGTTTTGAACAATGTATTGCATGTGAGCAATTGAGTCTGTGACCAACGAATCCTTACTTGAATTCGCGAAGGCGACATTTACCTCGCTTCCTAAAGGAGAAGAGTTGGATTTTTTGCAAAGCGAGTGTGATCGCCTCCAGTGTGCTCGGATTTTGAAGAATGGTTGATTTAATGGCGTTCTCGCATAAAAACCTAAATTTATTATTCATCTTATTACAGCTAAAAGGAGGCTGCAGTGACTTCCAATGATGCATCTAGTATAATACAGCACTCAATGCACACCCATCTAACTTTGATTCATTTTAAAGGGCTGGCGAACAAATCAATATCCTTAATGAGTTACCACCAGCCATCTTCAGAACTTTGAGAATGCTTGCTCAATCTCCTAGTGAAAATATCTACTATTTCGAATGGCTTGATTCTGCTCTGACCTGGATCCATGTTTCTGAATACAGGGTGAAATCAAAAGAAAATTGAAGGTGAGTTGAAAAGTTCGTTCATATCTTAACGAGTTTTAACGAACAATTAAAACATAACACGGATGCTCCAAGCCAAGCCAAGCATGGGGTGTTAATTTAAGATTATCGTAAGTCTTGATTACTCTTCCGTAAAACCAGCAAATCGGAAATTTATTTATACCAAATGACAGTCATTTCGATAGTTTTCATTAGCTCTTCAGTTGATTTCAGGCTTCACAGAGAGGAAGGAACATCAGTGAAAAAGCGATAGGGCGGGGGGGGGGGGGGGGGGGGGAACAGAAGAGTGTTTCATGGACGAAGATAGAAAAGGTAGAAAATAGGTGTGGCAAATACTGTGGAAGTAGTCGAATATGACATACAGTGGGGTGATGGTAGTTTGAAGCTAGAAATCAACAGCCGAATAATAGACTTTTTCAAAAGGCAGGCTTTGTGATATTTATCATTAGCCCTTAAACTTTGACTTCAGCTTCCCCCAAGGGTGTGGGGGGGCACATTTATAGCAGTTAATTAATAACAGTTCATTAGCCGTCTTCTTGCTTCCCAGTATCTCTGGCTTTCCGTCCCTCTCTTTAGGGCTGGACATCGAATCAGGTGGGTCTTCTCCATTTCCTCCTGTAGGTTACATAGAGGGCACGTGGGTTGAGTATATACTCCCCATCTGTGAAGGTGTTTTGCCAAGCAATCGTGTCTGGTACGTAGTCTAAACTCAGCAACGGCTTCGATTCTTGGCCAGTCGGCTATGTCGGAGAGTGCCACTGTCCACTGTTTCTCCTTTGTTCGAGCTTTGAGTTCGTTGCACCTTGAGGTCTTGAATTCTCTCCTGATTAAGGTCTTCATTGTATGGAAAGACATCGGGCGGTCCATGCATTGCAAAATCGTTGTCCCCTTCTTAGCAAGTGTGTCAGCAAGCTCATTACCTTTAATGCCACAGTGACCAGGAATCCATTTAGGACCACTGTTTTGTTTTTCTCTCTCAGCAGCTAATAGAGTTTTTTACTTTCGTGTATCTCAGCTGTTTTGGGTAGCTCTCTGTTTCCAATTGAGTTTATTGCCGACTGTGAGTCCGAAAGTATCACCGCTTTGGTGAATTTCGTATCCAGACAACATAATTGGCATAATGCTATCCTAATGGTCTCTATTTCTCCTTCAAAAGCGGATCCATTGTGTCCCACTGCTGTGTAGAAAGAGAAGAGTTCAGAGTAAACACCTGCACCAACTTTTGCTTGGTTTTCTATGCATGACCCAGCAGTGAAGACTTGGAGCCATTGATCTGTTGGATAGTTGGCATTGATTGTCTCAAGGGCCAGTGAGCGCATTTGTTCTGGAGGGGTGTTTGATTTCCTGAAGTAGTCAAGCAGTTGGGTGCAACACACTACATCAGTGCCTGCTAATCTGTTCATGGGGAGAGAGAGGCTTTTTGGTTTGTCATCGATTTGTAACGCTTTCTTCAGTTCTATGGCTTTCTGTATTAGACCAGATTGCGTTTTCAGGTGTCTTGGTCTATACTCATAGGTGCTGAAGAACTTGTCCATGGGAATGCGCAGTAGCTTCTCATACAGGATCAAGGCCTTCTCTTTGATAAGGGAACATATTGTGGTGCTTCCTGTAACTAGGAGCATTGCATCAATAATACAACATTATTGGCTGAATAAACATCTTGTAAGTGGTGTTGAGAGTTGAGCGTGCACAGCCCCATACGCTACCAGCAAGACGCTTCAGTACATTCAGTCTATTGGAGACTCGTTCTGCTATTGGGTTGGCAACTAAGTCATTGCCGTTTTTGTTGATGGATTCACTCTATACTTTCTTTNATTCAAATCGTCACAGCACAACACGAGATATTGCAGAGAAGCTCAATGTGTCGCATACATGCATTGAAAAAAATTAAAAAACCCTTGCTTATGTCAAGAAACTTGATTTATGGATCCCTCACCAGTTAAAGGAAATTCATTTGACGCAACGGATTAGCATCTGTGATTCGCCGCTACTGAAACGCAATGAAAATGATCCATTTCTGAAGAACCTAGTTACTGGCGACGAAAAGTGGATAGCTTATAACAATGTTACTCGCAAGAGATCATGGGTGAAGCAAGATCAACCAGCCCAAACAGTATGAAAAGCAGAGATTCACCAAAAAAGATTATGCTGTGAGTCTGGTGGGATCACAAAGGAATTTTGTATTTTGAACTCATCCCGCAGAACCAAACGATAAATTCAAATGTGTATGTTGAAGAACTCGAAAAACTGAAGGATGCAATTGAAGATAAGCGGCCGGCATTATCAAATCGGAAGGGTGTTGTTTTCCATCATGACAACGCAAGGCCCCACACATCTTTGGTTACTCGGCAAAAATTATTGGAACTGGGTTGGATTGTTTTGTCACACCCACCATATAGCTCTGACCTTGCGACTTCGGATTACTATTTGCTTCGTTCCATGCAAAACTCTTTAAATGGTAAAATTTGTAACAACGCGATCGGATCACACCTAATTCAGTTTACTCTTTAAATGGTAAAATTTTGACCAACGCGATGTGGGATCACACCTAATTCAGTTTTTTAATAGCAAAGACAGACGATTTTACGAACGGGGACCTAATATTTTAGCTATGTGACTTTTCCACGTTATCTTTATGTCAAAAGTCATTCATAGATAAGTGAACTCATTGTTTTTTCTAGGGTAGTATCCTTGTACCTTAGAAGTGGGTTTATGCTGTGACCTGCCAAAGAAAAAGTTTGGAATGCAGTTTTCACGGTGTTGATTACCATTCCATTGTTGCCGCACCAGTTTGCTAGTAGTTTAAGTGCACAATATAGAGCACTTTCTGTCCTCTCCTGAGAGTTTTTCTTAGGGGCAGAATACCATAGAACAAGATCATCTGCATAAAGTAAGTACTTGATGCCCGTGACTGTCTGTCCCAATTCGGCTTTGTCATTGATGAAGACATTGAAAATAATGCAGCTTGTGACAGCTCACTGTAGAAGGCCTGTTTGTAAAAGATTGGATTTTGATAGAGCATTCAAGACCTGTTTGTAAAAGATTGGATTTTGATAGAGCATTTTTATCAACTTTACATGATCTTTAATAATAGACAATTTTGCCGTATGAGTATACGTTGCCCAGGGNCCATACTAAGTCATATGCTGATTTGAAATTTCCTTTCCATTTATGTTTGTATTCTTTTCCAGCTATGTTTGTATCTTGTAGCCCCATCTTGTGGAGTGGGCGTTGAAATCTCCTAATACTATAGTTTTGTGTGAGAAGTGGGAGTTGAAGTCTCCTAATACTATAGTTT